CCGGTTACAAGTTGTGAAGATAAGGAGTCGACAAACAGACGAATATCAGAGGCAGGCGTGTCGGGAGTGATGTAAATGTTAGCTAACGTAATATAATGAAAGTGACTAATAAATCGGGGCTTACAATGAACAAAAATACAATTTATCTTGGGGGTATTAAATTGAAAACATTTACGAGCGATTTTGCACCTTTTCCTGTTGATGAAAGTGACCAATCCACCACTTGTATGAGGGAAGTTTACATTACGACTCGGAATATATCAAATCCATCAAGAAGCACGACGTTGTCCTCAATCTCCGGATGTAACCAGCTTTCCTGGAGTAGAATTGCCCCTACATTCTTGCATTCCTTCTGGTATATCATGCTGTTGACATCATCGAGTTTTCCAATGAGTGAACAAACGCTACTTGAGATAATAGATGGAACGGTCAAATTATCAACAGAAGGACGCCTAAGCGTCACACGCCAGCCAGCACGGTGTTTTTTATGGTGTCCTTGAACAGATTGTTGCAGTGGTTTAAGTCGATTTCTCACAGAATGGGCAAAATTCAGAAACTGATGTTTCTGCGTGATAAACTGTGAGGATTTCAGAAATATGGCGTTGTAGGACAACAGTTGACCTTGCGAATATAACGGGTTGATTCAAAAGTGATGTTAACGCGTTCTTCCACAGTAACTTTACACAATAATATTCCACGATGACAGGAAATATTTTTACTCGCACACCCTAACAGGCCTCTGACTTCCACACTGTGATAATTCTACCCTTGCGACTGACGTCATGCGGGTGGAATGGCTGCGTCACACATTAATTATGCTGGTGATTTTTGTCCTGGACAACCGCACTCAGGGAAGCATGATGATGATGCTGATGCTGCTGCTGCTGATGATGATGATGATGATAATGATGGTAGTGGTAGTGGTGGTGATGTTACTGTGCGCCTTCCATATAACCCCTCGTTGTTCATGTGTCCGAACCTGGAGACGGTCATTACATTCTACTGTTTGTAATTTATAAGTTTGCGACTGATCGTGAGGCTTTCTCGATTATTGATTTCACATCAGTTGTATATCAATTAAATGAAATTACAAATAAATATTATTGTTATCACAATTCTTCAGGAGCACCATCAGTAACCGAATCGTTGGATTTATGTGACCATTCTGTTGTCGATTCATTAAACAATACTACGCACGCGCTTCATACCAGATTCACTAAAGTCAATCAGAGCTGAGGAGATTGAGCTGCTTTCGCCAAATGATTCATTACTCGTTCGACTGTTTCACTTAATTTCTGTCCTGCTCGGGTTTATTGTTATCAGTTTCTGTGCTTACTAATGTGCTGACCGAAGTAATTGCACATTCTTATCAAAGGGATTACACATTTCATTCATCAGATAATTTAGAATACAGCAAACGGCATTGCCGCAAAAGGAATTATTTCTTACGGAAACCATATGTATACCCACAATCTAACAGTCCTTTGTCAGGTTCCTGAGCTAAAGGTAAACACAAATGTGTATTCATACAGACTATATATATATATATATATAAAAAGAGCCAATGAGGTGCACATTTTCTGCGCATGTCACAAAAGTCATAATTACAGAGCGTAATTTCTCATACCCTTTTAAATTGATTTTAAATTACTAGCAATTTAACGAATAAAAGGAATTCTGTGAATTGCAGCAAAACCATCTACTAACAACGGGAAGGCGAATTCATTTTCTCCGGTACCCAAACTTATTCAACACAGTGGTTACAATCAGCACGAGACGCCACCTGCATATGCTGATTGCTTTTATGAGTTGGGTGTCAAGTGGAGAAGTCGGAAAGTATTCACACTTATCCACATTCCCCTGACAAAAGAAATGTACAGACACACACACGACTGGAGATTTATGGCATCGATCAAGTGGACAATCGGTGAAACCATCGTTATCTGTTTTGTCAACTGGAAAACGTTTGCACATCTGAAGAAGTTTAATCACCTCGTCTGCCTCGGACAAAACCAAACCGCACCTGTGATATGCGCCTGTTTCCGTTTCCTTATGGAGGAACTGTTTTTATGCATCTGTTTGTGAATTGTTCCAGGCGATTGAGTGTCACTTGCAACACTTTTCGACTGACACAAGTGTGCATCACTGCAACCCATTTGTCGATGTAACGCTGTTCCCCTAACAGAAAGAAGCAGCCTACTTCAGGTTTCTAACCACGATTAATGAACAAGCGAAGTCGTTTTCCGTCTGAACATTGTATATATTTTGACAATCAAACTTCCTACCTATATAAGTATGTGCAAGTCAAGTGCGGCCGTGACCCGGTGGTCACGTCACCAAATTATCACCCCAGGGGTGTGTGTTCGAATGCCATCACAATTACCTAAAGTTTCCCATTGTGTGTTGAATGGCGGCCCTTTGATTAGCCGCTTTCCTCTTCCTGAAAACTGTATCTTTGTATATTCAGTAAAAGGAAGTAAAACAAAAAGAAAAAAAGAAAACAAAGAAAAATTTCAGTTAAAATTAATTAGGTAAATCGCATAGCCGGACAAGAAGGAGGTGAACTCCCGTCAAAACAAACCCCCGTGAACTTGAAACATCTGCAACGCGATTCATCTACAGGTACGCGCCATCAGCTGCAAGGAACACAATCAACTGTCACAGCATCGTTGGCCAAAAGCAGAAAGTTNCGGTTTCATTGTTCATCGACACTGACTGTTTTTATGTGAGCACGTCGACTTGGGATAAGAGGAGGGGGGTTGGTTATCTTATCAAGTAACTAGTGGGAGGAGTTGTTTTGCACTCCCTCGAGTCCTATTTGCCCCCAAGCGTTTTTCTTTCAACTCCAACATCTATGAGCTCTAATTGTCTCGAAACATGCTCCGTCTTTGATGTGTGTTCACCAATCGAATTACATCCAATCAGAGTATAGTAACAGGATCTGTTAACCGGAACAATTTTTCTCGCAGACGTCGATAATAATTGATTTGAAAAATTCATTTTGAAAAGGTCAAAAGGTTTGCACCGTTACCTTCTGTCTCGATTGCTATTGCTCATGAGTACCGAGAAATAACTCACCGGTGCGAGGCACAATTATTTCTGTATGATGCGTTTCCCTCGTGGTTCAGATTTGTACCGTAAATTCCTTGGTGAAAATCGGAGAACTGCACATGAGATGTGACATGCCAATTTTTGTGCTGGGGATAGAGGAGTATCTTTTTTCTCATACTCGAGTATTTTCAAATTGCCCAGTACAATTCCATTCAAAAGCATAGAATAAATTTTTTTTAAGTTATGGAAATCTCACATCTTTCTACGGGATTACTCGAAGAAAACCACGCAAAACACATACCTCGCTGTGACAGAAACGCAAGAGAGAATTGACCTGAGTTCATGCTTAGAAAACGCAGTCCTATGTATTAAAAGTATTTGGATATTTCGTTGTGTTGATTGACTGCACTGGGACTCATCTGTCGGTCAATCTCCTGGAATCATTTTTCACCAATGCGGTCAAGCGGATTTAATAGAATAGGGCGATACGTGACCAGAGAGTTGGAGAATAAAACGCTTCTACCCGTCTACAGTCTGACCTCTTCATGATAATAGTCTTTGGTTGAGAGTATCCTCTGAGAATAGAAAAACAATGGACTGCTACAATGACCGGATACTGACTGGTGAGCAAACTAAACCGGAGATTGTTCTTTCCCTCCACGATAATTATGTTCCTTCTTAGGACGAATGGTTCATGCTGAATGGTTTTATTTTCATTGAAATATAAAACGTCTACCGACGAGGGTGAGAGAAGGTCAATCTCTCAAGTTGCCTTATCCAAATGAGTTGTTGGTGTTGTATATACTCGTAAACGTCTTTCGCTCCAACACAATTTGGAAAATAAGAAAATAATGTTTTGAAATGAGAGCCACATTTCAATAAGAATCGACGGCAAACATATTCTGGGAAACACTACAAGACCTGAAAACGGCGGATTTTACTGAGTAGTAGTTTGGAATACTACTGCAAAGAAATTGATCAGTAATAAGTGGAATCCATCGATATGTTCTAATGCTTCATAAAAATAAAACTTGAAACAATCTACACTACCGGAGCATGCGCAACTCCGCAGTAATAACGCATATCTGATGTTGAATTGGTAATGTCGGCAAAAAGCGATATATTGAAGCCCCCGCTATTAGATGACTTCCAGGATATTTCAAGAAACAAAAATAAAGTCAGGTTGATGCCACATGTGATCTGAACAAATTTACGGTATCCCGAAGTCTGGGCTACCGAGACGCTAAAAGCTCCATTTATTGAGGTCTATCAGCACAAGGTTTAAAGCTGTTTTACAATTCGCCTAGTTGAGTTTTCATGTTTTAAGCACTATCCAGCACCCTTTTGTCATGAGCTGGTCGCATACTTCAGTGGTTAAATGATAACATAAAACACTGTTGGGGCGTATGCTTGAGAAAGCTAATTATCTGATAACCCGCTGGAGACGCACAGGTTTGGAGTGTGGCACATTCATTTTCTCTTGATGAACAAAACTCAAGGCTTTTTGTTTGTGTAACATGCAAAATGGTACCAAAGTGCTTTCAGAAACTATCGTAGTTGTTTCAGTTATTCAAATCGTGCTCTTCAATCAAACTATAGGACAGACA